AGGAGCGAGACCCCATCTCTACTATAAATAGAAATTAATTGGCCAACTGATATATATATATATATATATATACACACAAAAAATTATCCGGGCGTGGTGGTGCATGCCTGTAGTCCCAGCTACTCGGAGGAGGCTGAGGCAGGAGGATGGCTTGAGCCCAGGAGTCTGAGGTGCGTGAGCGAGGCTGACGCCCACGGCACTCACTCTAGCCTGGGCAACAGAGCGAGACTCTGTCTCAAACAAAAAAAAAAAAAAAAAGAAAAAAAGTGACTGTGGGGCCGGCCCTTGCGTCTGCTTTCCCACCTTTGGGGGGGCTGGGCCCTGGGGAGACTGTTTTGAATGGAGAAAGTCGAGGCGGACTGGACCTGGCAGGGGCGGCCTGGTCCGATGTGGAGGGGTCCCCAGGGCTGGGCAGGCAGATGGCTTGAGCCCAGGAGTCTGAGGTTGCTGTGAGCGAGGCTGACGCCACGGCACTCACTCTAGCCTGGGCAACAGAGCGAGACTCTGTCTCAAACAAAAAAAGAAAAAAAAAAAAGAAAAAAGTGACTGTGGGGCCGGCCCTTGCGTCTGCTTTCCCACCTTTGGGGGGCTGGGCCCTGGGGGAGACTGTTTTGAATGGAGAAAGTCGAGGCCGGACTGGACCTGGCAGGGGCGGCCTGGTCCGATGTGGAGGGGGTCCCCAGGGCTGGGCAGGCAGGTGTGTGGGGGGACCCCAGGCCCCCAGGGCTGCAGGGGAAGGGCCTGGCCCTCTGCCAGTCGCTCACCCCTCCCCGTGGGTCGGCCCCGGGTGGAGCCGCCATGGCCGCACACGGGCCGACTCCAGGCTCTGCTGGGGCTCAGGGGACCCAGGTGGTGACGACCCTCGGCTGCGGCTCAGCAAGTAAACTGAGGAAGGGCCTGCCACGGCGCCTGGCCCTGGCCACCTGCATCCCAGAGCCCCAGAGCTCAGAACCCTCCCACCTGGCAATCAGACCCAAAAACCTGGATTTTCAGGGACACCCCCCCTGAAGCCCTGGGAATTCTGGGACCCCCACCCCGAACCCTGGATTCTGGATCCCCCGATCCTGGATTCACGGATCCCCCGAACCTGGCATTCCAGGAAACCACCGGACCTTGGGATTCAGGATCACCCCCCCTCGAACGCTGGGTAAGTACACCCCACCCCTAGAACCTGGGATTAGCAGGAACCCCCATACCCTCGATTCAGGACCCCCCCATCGGGATTCAGGACCCCCCCCATCCCTGGTTCAAGACCCCCTCGGGAACCGGGATCAGCGACCCGCTTGACCCTGGATTGCGCCCCCGCCCCCCCTCATCCCACAGACCAGGACTTGTTGAGCCCCCAGGCACGCCGATCCCGGTGGACGCCTGGCGCCGGCCGGCGAACCCCTGCACGTCCTACGCAGCCCGCCCTTGCCCTCCTCCGCTACGCGCCACGCCGGCTCAGACCTGCCAAGGGCACTGGATGGGCGTCTGCACCCACAGGGGTCCCGGGTGAGAGACCGCCGTGACCGCCCGTCACTGCCTCCACGGCCCGCCCCCCCACGCCCCACGGCCGCCGCTCCCGACCCTGCCTCAGTTTCCTGCTCCTGCCCCGATCCCTGCGACGATCCCCGGTGTTGGACTTTGGGTGTCTGGGGCGTGGCACTCTGCTGGAGCCTTGGCTGGGGCCGAGGGGCTCTGTGACTCTGAGGGCTGCGCTCTCACCCCACCAATCTGCCCACCGTGAACCCCAAGACCGGGCGCCGCCCGCGCCCCGCCTTCCGCTCCCCGCCGGGGCAGCCCTCCGAAGCCGGTCTGAAGTCCCGAACTGGCCAGGCGGCCGGGGCGCGGGCGAGGGCGGCGCCGCAATACCGTGGGCGGACGGCAGGCACGGGCAGCGTCCCCAGGGGCCCGTGCGCGAGGGGACCCAAGTGAGACTGCAGCCGCTGCCCAGCGCCCTGGGGCCGGCCCCCGGCACCCCGGCCGGAGCCAGGGCACAGGCCCCCTGCTCCTGGAATCTTGACAGGGCCCGGGCGTGGCGGGGCGTGTCGAGCTACAACCCAGCCCGAGCCGTGCACTCAGCAGGTGCACCTGCTGGGCCCAGGGCTGGGACAGAAGGTGGCGGTGCCGTGGCGTGCACATCCTGGCAGGTCTGCCGTGGGCGCGGGCGACGTCCGAGCGGCTTGTAGCCGGCCGGTCCAGCCCCAGAGGGCAGGGTGCAGGTGCCAGGTGGGGCTCGGGTCACCCAGGGGGGCGTCGTCCCCTCAGCCAGGGGGTGCCGCCCCCAGGGCTGCCGCAGGCGGGACTCCTGTGTTGGGGGGTCCTTCGTCCTCAGTCTGGACGGCACAGGTGTGGCCACTATGGCCGCCCGCAGGTGTCCTGGGGCTGCACCCGCCCCCACCTCCACCTCCACCTGCTGGGGTGCTCCCTGGCCGGGGTTGGGGGCTCCCGAGGGCAGGGAGGGAGGAAAGGAGGGAGGGTGCACTCTGATCCTGGACGCCCTCCGACCTTCGGGCCCAGCCCCCTGCGGGTGGGTCGGCCGTTCTGGGCCCACCGGACTGTGAGGCTGGGGACAGAGGGCCCCGCGGGCTGGGAGGGCCGGGCAGGCGGGCGTCCCGGGAGATGGCGGCGGGCAGGGCTTGGAGACGGGGAAGGTTGGCAGGGGAACAGATCAGGCACCTGGACCCCCAGCAAGGGCTGCGTCTGGACCGTGGGGGCGTCCGGGCGTGGGGCCGCTGACCCAGGGTCGCGGGGGCCTGGTCCGGACTGGGACCCCCTGGGCCGCACCCCTGCTCCGAAGGACCCGCCTGTCCCCGTCCCTGCGCCTGGCACCCTGGGTCCCACCTGCCCCCACCCGTCCCGTCGTCCTGTCCTGTCCTGGGGGCTGAGGGGCGCTCCGCCACACCTGTGCCCCCAGGGACCTCGGCTCGGCACACGCCGGCCTGCTCCCTCCTTCCAGGGACACACGTGTCCTTGTCCCGGGCATGTGAGCAGGGCACGCAGCAGCACCCTAGGGCTCCCGGCTCCTACTTCCTGTCCGCGACTCGGCCCCCCGTGATGCTGTGAGGGGGGTCAGGGCCCTCCAGAAGGCCCAGATGTCCCGAGTCCCCTCTGGTCTGTGTGGGGAGTGAGGGGGGGCAGGGCCGCCCGAGAAGGCCCAGCCATGCTGCATGGCTGTGCTCGGTTTGCTGGGGCCCCGGCCGGCTGTCCGGCAGTCCAGGAAGGCAGGTGCCCTGGGGACCCGAGGGTGGGGGATGGGCCCCTCTGGGCTGTGCGACTGCAGCCGGTGTGTGGCCCTCGTGGATTCTGTCACCATGGCCTGGGCACAGCCCTATGAGGCACGCTGCCCCACCAAAGTCCGGTGGCCTGAGCCCAGGGTCCCCCACAGGTGGGCTCTTGGGGATGGGGTCCCCAGCAGGGTCAGGTGGCCCGAGCCTGGGGTCCTCCCACAGGTGGGCTCTCGGGGACAGGGTCCCCAGCAGGGTCAGGTGGCCCAAGCCCAGGGTCCCCCCATAGCTGGGCTCTTAGGGATGGGGTCCCCGCCAGGGTCAGGTGGCCCGAGCCCGGGGTCCCCCCACAGGTGGGCTCTCGGGGACAGGGTCCCCAGCAGGGTCAGGTGGCCCGAGCCCGGGGTCCCCCACAGGTGGGCTCTCGGGGACAGGGTCCCCAGCAGGGTCAGGTGGCCCAAGCCCGGGGTCCCCCCATAGCTGGGCTCTCAGGGATGGGGTCCCCACCAGGGTCAGGTGGCCCAAGCCTGGGGTCCCCACCAGGGTCAGGTGGCCCAAGCCCAGGGTCCCCCCATAGCTGGGCTCTCAGGGATGGGGTCCCCACCAGGGTCAGGTGGCCCAAGCCTGGGGTCCCCCCATAGCTGGGCTCTCAGGGACGGGGTCCCCACCAGGGTCAGGTGGCCCAAGCCTGGGGTCCCCCCATAGCTGGGCTCTCAGGGACGGGGTCCCCACCAGGGTCAGGTGGCCCGAGCCCAGAATCCCCCCGACAGGTGGGCTCTCAGGGGCAGGATCCCTGATGGGGCTGGGGGTCCCGAGACCTGCCGGGAGTGGCAGTGGGTGAGGCCTCCCCACGGTTCGGCCTGGACGTCCCGGCCCAGGGCCTGTGGCACAGACCCCCGGTGGCCCGGCCAGCCCTGGGGCAAGAAGGGAGCTGCCGCTCCTCCCTCGGCCCCCGGGGACCTGGCCCCCAGCGACCTGGCCCCCAGCGCTGCCCAGCGTCCTGTGGTCGCTGAGGGGCCGCAGGTGCCCGCGACCCAGCCTGGCAGGAAGCAGCCCCACCCAGCACCCGCGGGGTCCAGCTCTCACGGGTCCCCTGGGCTGGGGCCGCGGCTGGACCCTCCTGCCCACGCGTGTTCCCGAGTGTGTCCCTGCCGGGGCTTTAGTGGGTCTTGGGGGCCTGGGGCTGGCTGGTGGGGGCGGCCCCACCGAGCTCGCTCGTGGCCGCTGCAGACCCATCCTCGAGGGCTCGGCGGGAGCTGCCAGGGGTGCCCGGCAAGAAGCGAGGGCGGCCACAGGGCGCCGTCCTGTCTGTGGAAGGTGCTGCCACGGCCGTCGGGCGCCTGCCGGTCCCGCGCTGAGCCCACCCCACCCCGGGGACACAGGACACACGAGCGCCTCCCTCATGCCGCCCTGCGCTGGTGGCTGGAGTTCCGTGGGCGGGCGGAGCTGCGGGTCCGGGCTGAGGGTTCCGCAGGGTCGGATGCGCCGCGGCCTCCCCGGACGTGGGCTGCTCTCAGGGAGCCTGGAGTCGCCCACCCTGCGCCGAGGCACACGGGGTCCCGGCACGGTGGCCTTGTCTCCGCGCGGGCACGGCGCCGAGACCCCCGTGAAGTGCCGAGTGCCCGTGGCGTGCCGGGTCTGCAGCCCGAGCCCGGCCAGTGCGCGGCACGCACAACCGCGCCGGCCCTCCCCAGAGGGCGCGGGTCCCCGGGGCTGCCTGCCCCGAAACGCGCCGGCCCTGGAGACCGGTGGGAACACGCGCGCGCCGCCAACAAACACCGAGACGCGTCCGTGAATAAATAAAAATTTATCGTCCCGTACAAACGCACTCCACCCCACCGCAGGCGTCCCGCAGTCCCGCGGTCCCGTGCTGGCGCGGGGCGCTGCGCCCGGCGTGCGGGCGGCGTCACAGCGGCTGCCGGTCGTCGTCCCCGCACGCGTACTCGTACAGGTCCACCGCGCCCAGCGCCGACGGCGCCTCGAAGAAGGGCCTGTGTGCCAGCGGCGTGCGCAGCGCGCTCAGCTTCTGCTCCGCAGGGCTGAGCTCCGCCTCGTACCTGCAACGGGCGGGCGGGGCGGCGTGAGGGGCGGGCGGGAGCGCGGCCGAGCGCGTTTCCCTCCGTCTGCCCACTGCGCCGTCCGCGCGTTTCCGTCCATAGCGCCCGGCGCGGATGGCGGGCCCCGGGACGGTGCAGGCCGTTTCCATGAACTGTGGGACTAACTCACTGGGTTCCGGCAAATTCCTCCAAGACCGTTAAAAAGATCGTCTCCCCACCTGCGGCCGGTACGGGCGATCTTTACCGACGCGCGGCAGCAGGACGGCCGGGACGCGCCTTCCCTGGCGGAGCCCCGGCAGGGACCAGCGAGCGCTGCGCAGCCCCATCCGCGCCCTGCTCCTCCGGAGGGTGCCCGGCCCCCGGCGGTCCCTGTCCCCGGCGGTCCTTGTCCCCTGTGCCCGCAGGCCTGGGCCGCAGCCCCGAGCGGCAGGGGCGGACGTGGCCGCGCAGCCAGGCGAAGACCCGCGCGCAGAGATGTGCGGGCTCAAAGCGGGCGCAGTGGGGACGGAGGTCGGGGGGCGGCGCCCACAGAATGCGCCCGGGGGCCACAGCGGCTCCCCGAGATACTGCGGGTGGAAGGTTCTAGAGAGTGGGGACGGGGTCAGCCGCCTGCGCAGAGAGGCGAGGAGGGGGGACAGAGACACACGCACGTTTGGGACGCCCAGCGGAGGCCGCAGGACCGGACGCAGAAGGGCCTCCCGCCCGGCGTGGGGCGGGGCCGAGACCCCTCCGCGGAGCCGCGACCGCGGTCCCCCCACGCGCTCCTGCGCGCCCGGATTCCTGCCAGGTGCCAAAGCGAAGACGCACGGGGAAGAGAACAAAGGCCCCGTCCACGGCCTGCGCGAACATGCGGAGGAGGAGGAGGTCCCGGCAGAGAGCAACACAAAGGGACGCAGAGGGTCGAGGGAGGAGGATCGCTCGAGGTCAGGAGTTCAAGACCAGCCTGAGCAAGAGCGAGACCCGTCTCTACTAAAAATAGAAATTAACTGGACAACTAACAACATACAAAAAGAAAGAAACTAATAAAGGGATGCACAGGGCCGAGGGGACCAGGCGCTCTGGGTGACCGACGACGCCAGGCTGTCAGAGAAAACAGTGACCGTCAACACTGGGGGCGCGAGGCAGTCTCACTGGGTTCTGCCGGTGGTGACATCACACCCGGGGTTGTGTGAACAGTGCCCCGGTGCGCGGCCGGCCTGGGCGGCTGGACCGACGTCCCATGGGCACAGAGCACGGGCGATCCCCGAGCGGAGACGGGGAACCCGGCCTCGAACCCGCCACGGAATCTGGCGGGAAGCCCGAGAAAGCCGCGGGTCCGGACAGCCTCAGCGGCCAATGCTTACGTGAACTCCAAGACGAGGCCGCCGCGTCTGGCTCAGGGCAGGGCGGGAGGCTCCGGGGTGACACGGGTCCGTGTCGTCTCGGCTGCACGCTCACGCGTGTCCACGCTCCCAAGCGGCACACGTTATGCGCGCACCGCGCCCCACTCACCCCGCCGTGAAAACCGCCGCTCTCAAACCCAACTCCAGGCCCTGAAGGCGAATCCTACCCCGAGCTTGGGGAGACAGAGCGCACGCCCCGCGAGGAACCGCGGTGGGCGCGGCCGGCGGACCCGGCGCACGGGAGGAGGATGACGTGGTGTCGTGACCGAGTCCCAGGTGACCGCGCGCGCAAGGCGGAGCCACCGCGGACCGAGCCGGCGCGCTTCTGGGTCACTCCCGACGCGTCCCGGCGCATGGGGACGGAAGGGACGTCCCCCAGCCGACAGGCCACCTGCCCCGCGGCGGGGGTCGGGCGTCCCTCCCCAGCCTGGGCACACGCAGGCGCCCCGCCCCGCACGCCCGAGCGAGAGGAAGAAAGGAAACGCACACGCGTGCGCGCAGGAACCCCTGAACAGCCCGTGGAAAGCCGCTAGAAGCGACCTGTTTATGCTGCCGGGGAACGGCTGGAAATGGGAATCTAGAAACGGCCTTTTACAGCACCAAAAAAAGAGAGAAAAAAATCACGAGATCCACGTAACACCTGCTCACAGAGAGCCTGAAGGGAGAAGGCACCGGAGACCCGACTAGAGGGGGGCGGTGGGCGGACCCACCGCGCACGCCGGCCGTCCCCACGCCCCCGTCCCCACGACCCCCTCTCATGAGAACCTCGTTCAGAGCAGCAGCAGGAGGTTTTGTGGAAATAAACCACCTCACTCTTAATTTGCACATAAACGCAAAGAAACTGGAACAGCCAACGGAGGCAACGTGGGGGGAACACAAGCACTGGCCAGGCGCGGCGGCTCCTGCCTGTGGCCCGCACTTCGAGAGGCCAGGAGTTTGAGACCAGGCTGGGCCACACAGTGAGATCCCACCTCCACAAAAATCAGAAGAATTGGTCGGGCATCGTGGTGGCACCTGCAGTCCCAGCCGACAGGGAGGCTGGGGCAGGAGGATGGCTCAAGCCCAGGAGGTGGAGGCTGCCGTGAGCTACGATGACGCCTCTGCACGCCAACCCAGGTATCAGAGAGGGACCCTGACTCTAAAAATAAAAAAACAGGCCGGGTGCGGTGGCTCTCGCCTGTCATCCCAGCACTCTGGGAGGCCCAGGTGGGTGGATCGCTCGAGGTCAGGAGTTCGAGACCAGCCTGAGCAAGAGCGAGACCCCGTCTCTACTAAAAATAGAAAGAAAATTAATTGGCCAAATAAAATATATATACAGAAAAAAATCAGCTGGGCGTGGTGGCGCATGCCTGTGGTCCCAGCTACTCGGGAGGCTGAGGCAGGAGGATCGCTTGAGCCCAGGAGTTTGCTGTGAGCGAGGCTGACGCCACGGCACTCACTCTAGCCTGGGCAAGAAAGCGAGACTCTGTCTCAAAAAAAAAAAAAATAAAATAAAATAAAATGCTTAAAAAGCACATTACGGAGCCCTCCCTGCAGGAGTGCACGTGGGGAGGCTGCCGCGGAGCCGCCCCGGAGCTGGTTGGGGACGCAGGCGTGGTGCCGAGTCTGAACCGCTCGCAGGGGACACGGGGAGGGGAAGGCCGGGCGGCGGGACGGGCAGGCAGCCGGAGGCCCCGCGCTGTGGCGTCGGTGCCCGGGACACGGCCCGTGGGCGGGGACAGGCGCGCGGCAGCACGACTGAGCCAGGTGCAGGAGCGGACCCCAGGTCCCCGCCGAGTAACTCCCACCGCGGAGGGCCACCCGCACAGCCGGGAGCGAGCCCGCACCCTCGGGAACACCTGCCCCAGGTGGGCACAGGTCTGGGGTGGAACGAGAAAACCCGCAGGGAACCTTGGGGCTCCGAGCCGGCCGTGGCTTCGCGCACACGGCGCCCAGCGCGGCAGGTGGGGAGCGGCAGCGCACCTGGGCGGAAAGCACCTGGCAGGGCAGGGAGTAGAAGACAGGCAGGTGCGAGCGGGAAGCCCTCGCAGGTCACCCCCGGCGGGGTTCGTAACGGGAACACACAGAGCTCCGGGCTGGGTTCCGCCGAGGCGGCCGACACAGGGACCCGAACGGTGGTCGGGTCCGAGGTGGGCGCACGGAAGGGGCTGTGACGTCCGTAAGCCGCCTGCCCCGCCCTTCCTGCGCCCGGCTCGGTCCGCGGAGCGGCAGGACCCACGTCACGCGCACACCTGCCCGCCTCGGTCTCCCCTTTCTTTGGCCGAGGCGTAAAAGCTCACCCCGGGAATCGCCGAATCCCACACGAGGACAGGGCTGCTCAGGGGCCGGCTGCGGAGCCACGTCATCCGGGACGGCGCGTGGGGACGGCGCGTGGGGACCGCAGCAGGACCGCCCCGCCGCTCCCGCGCCCCTGGCTCTGCCCACCTCAGCCCCGCACTCGCCCCTTGTCCCCACCGCCCCGCGTCCACGCTCACCCCTCGCCCCACCGCCCCGCGTCCACGCTCACCCCTCGCCCCACCACCCCACACTCACCCCTCGCCCCACGGGTCCCCACTTCAGCTCCGTGTCCCCACCACCCTGCGTCCACACTCACCCCTTGTCTCACGGGTCCCCACCTCAGCCCCCTTGTCCCCACCGCCCCGTACTCACCCCTCGCCCCACGGGTCGCCACCTCAGCTCCGTGTCCCCACCACCCTGCGTCCACACTCGCCCCGCGTCCACACTCACCCCTCGTCCCACGGGTCCCCACCTCAGCCCCATGTCCCCACCACCCTGCGTCCACACTCGCCCCGTGTCCCCAGCCCTGCACTCACCCCTCGTCCCACGGGTCCCCACCTCAGCCCCCATGTCCCCACCGCCCCGCACTCACCCCTCGTCCCACGGGTCGCCACCTCAGCCCCGTGTTCCCACCACCCTGCGTCCACACTCGCCCCTCGTCCCCAGCCCCGTACTCACCCCTCGTCCTACGGGTCCCTACCTCAGCCCCATGTCCCCACCACCCTGCGTCCACACTCGCCCCGCGTCCCCAGCCCTGCACTCACCCCTCGTCCTACGGGTCCCTACCTCAGCCCCGTGTCCCCACCACCCTGCGTCCCCACCGCCCCGCGGCCCCAGCCCTGCACTCACCCCTCGTCCCACGGGTCCCCCGCGGCCTCCTCGGCCACCAGGATGTCGTACTCCTCGGCGGCGTACCTCTCCCAGTCCGAGAGCTCCGGGCCGTCGCTGTCGCTCTCCTGGGGGACGGCACGTGTCACAGGTCACGCCGTGTCACGCCGTGTCACGGGGCGGCGTGGCCGGGGCAGCCCGCCCGCACGCCCGTGCTCACCCTGAGCAGGGAGACCTGCTCTTTCTGCTCGTGGTCCAGGTACTTCTCCACGTTGAAGAAGGTGTCGAAGAAGACGTCGGCCAGCCTGCAGCACTTCAGGTCGCGCAGCGTGATCCTCCCTGCGGGGGACAGGTGTGGGGCACAGGTGTGGGGGGCGGGCGCGGGGACAGGTGTGGGGGCGGGCGCGGGGGACAGGTGTGGGGGGCGGGCGCGGGGGACAGGTGTGGGGGGCGAAGCTGGGGACAGGGGGGGCGCCGGCCACCAGGGGGCGCCCCTGGACCTGGAATAGCAGGCCCTGGTGCAGCTAGGAAGGGTACCCCGCAGGGACAGGCCACAGTCAGGGACAGGAGGGGACCCGTGTCCCCCGTCTCAGAACGACTCCCACAGTCAGCCCCCCCAGATCCGGACCCGGATTCCCAAACACAGCACGGAACTAACTGAGGTGGTGGAGTCTAGAGAGGGTCCCTGTCCCCATGGGACTGAGCGTGGGCAGAGTCACCCGGTCCCAGTGGGGACCGAGTTCAGGGAGGGGGTCCCACGTCCCTCTGGCTCGAGAGGGATTGGGAGAGGACACGGGGCTGGGGATCCCCGTGCTGTGCAGACACCCCGAAACTCCCCCACCGTGAGGACCCCTGCTCCCGGCCCTCTCATCCTCAGCGACCCCAGAGGTCACCCTGGGTGGCGGTGACATCCTTGTGATGGGAGGTCCCAGGGTGGGAACAGGCCACACTGGTTCTGCCCCGTCAGGACCCCAGTGGGGCCAGCCCCTCCCTCCGTGCGTCCCCTCCCCCCGGCGTCCCCTCCCCCTGGGCGCCCCCTCCCCCGGGCGTCCCCTCCCCCCGGCGTCCCCTCCCCCGGGCGTCCCCTCCCCCGGGCGTCCCCTCCCGGCACCTTCGCTGCGGGGCTTGACGAGGTCGAGCATCTGGCAGAGGCAGTCCTGGAAGGGCAGGGCCTCGATGGCCATGCTGTCCAGCCGGCGGCACTGCTCCTCGTAGAAGTACTCGAGCTCGAACATGGACAGCGCGCCGTCCCCGTCCAGGTCCATGCAGCGGAACCAGTACTCGATGCTGCGGCGGCGCGCGCCCGTCAGCCCCTCCGCGGGGACCCGCCCGCCCGCCCGCCCTCCTTGGGGACCCGTGGGGACCCGCGGGGTGTCAGGTAGGTACGCAGCTCCCGCCCCGCCCCCCAAGCCCCACCTGGTCGGGGTCTTTTTGTCCTCTTCGGAGATGAGGAACCAGACGAAGTCGGCGTAGCTGATCTTCCCTTCCTTCTGCACCTTCCTGCCGCTGCGCGGGACCCAGACAGGTGAGGGGGGTGCCGGAGGGGAGGCCCCGCCCACTGTGCCCCGCCCACCACGCCCATGTGTCCCCCGCGTGAGGGGCCTGTGTAGCCAGGGAGAGGCTTCCAGGCCCCAGGGGGTCACAAGTGGCCACCTCCAGACGCCCCCAGACCCACGCCGACGCGCAGGGCCGGCAGGGACCGCCTAGGAGCCTGCGCGGACCCTCCTGGGGGCCCCTGCAGGGCGCACGTCCCCACTGGGGCTCCCGTCACGGAGGCGTGCGCCCCGCCACTCAGCACCTGGCGACACTGAGCTGGGCGTCCCCGCTGGCACCTCGCGGGATGCATCCCCGCCGGTCGCGGAGGCGCAGCGCGGGGCCGGCTCGGCGCAGAGGCCGTAGGGACGGGAGGGGCGCCCGGCACGTACCGCGTCACCGCGCCCGAGAAGATCCTGTCGATCATCTTGCTGGAGATGGCTGCGGGGAGAGGGTCGTGAGCGGGGCGCGGCGCGGACGGCGCCCCACGTGCCCAGAGGCCAGGCGGGGTCCCGGGCCGACGCCCACACGGGCGCCCCGCCTGCACCGGCCTTTCCCGCCGCCACGGCCGCGCCCCAGGTCGGACCTGAGTGGAAGCAGCTGGGGCTCCCAGACAGCGTTGTGAAGAGCAGAACCCACGCCGTGTCTCGGACGCCCGCGCCTTGGACACTCACACCGCGGGCGCCCGCGCCCCCGACACTCACACCGCGGACGCCCGGGCCTCACTCCACCCCGCCCCCGACACTCACACCGCGGACGCCCGGGCCTCACTCCACCGCGCCCCCGACACTCACACCTCGGACGCCCGGGCCTCACTCCACCGCGCCCCCGACACTCACACCTCGGACGCCCCGGCCTCACTCCACCGCGCCCCGGACACTCACACCTCGGACGCCCGGGCCTCACTCCACCGCGCCCCGGACACTCACACCTCGGACGCCCGGGCCTCACTCCACCGCGCCCCGGACGCCCGCGCCCCGGACACTCACACCTCGGACGCCCGGGCCTCACTCCACCGCGCCCCGGACGCCCGCGCCCCCGACACTCACACCTCGGACGCCCGGGCCTCACTCCACCGCGCCCCGGACACTCACACCGCAGACGCCCGGGCCTCACTCCACCGCGCCCTGGACGCCCGCGCCCCACACTCTCGGCCCGGAAACCTGCGCCTCCTTGTCCGGCGCCCCACACTGTCACCCGACCGCCGTCACGCGAGCGAGCGTGTTCCAACAGGAACCCGACTAAGACGCGGCGAGCGGCGCTGTCTGGGCAGGACACAGACCCCGGGCCTAGACCTCAGGACTTCTCTCCCGCGTCCCGCAGGCGGGAACCTGAGGCTGCCTGCCTCCCGCGTACATCCCTCCCGAGGCCGCCTGCCTCCCGAGTCCTCCCCCCCAGGTCGCCTGCCTCCCGAGTCCTCCCCCCAGGTCGCCTGCCTCCCGAGTCCTCCCTCCCGAGGCCGCCTGCCTCCCGAGTCCTCCCTCCCGAGGCCGCCTGCCTTCCGCGTCCTCCCCCCCCAGGTCGCCTGCCTCCCGAGTCCTCCCCCCAGGTCGCCTGCCTTCCCGAGTCCTCCCCCCCCCAGGTCGCCTGCCTCCCGAGTCCTCCCCCCCAGGTCGCCTGCCTCCCGAGTCCTCCCAGGTCGCCTGCCCCCGAGTCCTCTCCCCCCGAGGTCGCCTGCCTCCCGAGTCCTCCCCCCCCAGGTCGCCTGCCTCCCGAGTCCTCCCTCCCAAGGCGCCCGCCCCCCCAGAGTCCTCCCCCCCAGGTCGCCTGCCTCCCGAGTCCTCCCCCCCCAGGTCACCTGCCTCCCGAGTCCTCCCCCCCAGGTCGCCTGCCTCCTGAGTCCTCCCTCCCAAGGCCGCCTGCCTCCCGAGTCCTCCCTCCTGGGCGTGCCGACGCCGTCCCCTCCCTGTGTCCTCACGGGGTCCTCCCCCGTGCCTGTGTCCTCACCTCCTCTGCTTATGAGGACTCCGGCCTGTTGGATCAGGGCCGCCATGGTGACCTCAGTTTACCTCAGTCACCTGTTTAAACACCCATCTCCAAACACAGCCGTCTGGGGTCCCGGGGTCAGGGCTCCAATGTACGAATTCGGGGGTGCGTGGCTGCTCCGTGGCAAACATGCCCGTGAGACGGGGCATGAAGGCAGTGCCTCCCCAAGCCCGACTCGCCCTGCCCCGCCAAGCCCCCCCCCGTGAGAGGGGACCGGCCGCCGTCACGGGCTGCACTGTGCCCCGAAACACGTGTCCCTGTCCTGACCTCTGGGCCTGGGAACCCGACCTCGTGTAGAAACGGGCTCTCCGCAGCGGTGATTAAGCGAAGGATCTCGAGACGAGACCACCCTGGATTGGGGAGGGCCCTAAACCCGGCGACACGCGTCCCCGTGAGAGACGGCAGAGGGGGCACAGACGCGGAGGAGAAGCCACGTGGAGGCAGACGGAGGAGGCAGAGGCGGGAGTGAGGCTGCGGCCACAAGCCCAGGGACGCCCGGAGCCCCCGGAGCCGGGAGAGGCGGGAAGGAGCCTCCCCTGGACCCGTGGAGGGAGCGCGGCCCCGAGACCCCCGCGTCCCACACTCCCGGGCTCCGGGGACCCGGAGGGGACACGTCCCTGTGGGTGAGGCCCCAGTTTGTGCTGGAAGCCCGGGCACGGCCTCGCCCGCGCACACGCGGCACCCGGAGGCTGACACGGGGAGGGGGTAGGAGGAGGCTGGGGCGGAGGACCGGCCTCGCCCGCGCACACGTGGCGCCCGGACGCGGCCTCACAAAGGGCATCGCCCGCGCACACGCAGCGCCCAGAGGCTGACACGGGGAGGGAGAAAGAGGAGGCTGGGGTGGAGGACCGGCCTCGCCCGCGCACACGTGGCGCCCAGAGGCTGACACGGGGAGGGAGAAAGAGGAGGCTGGGGTGGAGGACCGGCCTCGCCCGCGCACACGCGGCGCCCAGAGGCTGACACGGGGAGGGGGGAGAGGAGGCTGGGGCGGAAGACCCGGCAGGCCGAGGGGCCGCGGCGCCTGGAGGCTGACACGGGGAGGGAGAGAGGGGAGGAGGCTGGGGCGGAGGACCAGCCTCGCCCGCGCACACGCGGCACCCGGAGCTGACACGGGGAGGGAGAGAGGGGAGGAGGCTGGGGCGGAGGACCGGGGAGGGAGAGAGGGGAGGAGGCTGGGGCGGAGGACCGGGGAGGGAGAGAGGGGAGGAGGCTGGGGCGGAGGACCCGGCAGGCCGAGGGGCCGCGACACCCGGAGCTGACACGGGGAGTGGGGAGGAGGCTGGGGCGGAGGACCGGCAGGCTGCCGAGGGGCCGCGGCGCCGCCCACCGTGGTCGTTGTGGCGCGCCAGGTCCCGCGCGCTGATGAGCAGGTCGTGGTCGGCGTCCAGCTCCCAGAACTTGCAGTAGATGACGTAGAAGTGCTCGTAGGAGAAGAACTCCGTCAGCTGGTTGATGTCCGGCTCCTCCTCCAGCAGCGCCACGTTCTGCGGGACCGGCGGCGTGAGGGCGGCCCGCGCGGAGGGCGCCCGCAGCTCGCGGTGGGTCGGCTGGCCTGTCGGGGCCGTGGGGGAGGGTGCCCGCCACCGCCCGCCGCGCCCACCTGCAGGAAGGTGCTCCTCCTGAGCTCCGCGCAGGTGATCCTGCCCGACCAGGACCTGTTGACCGTGTAGAAGATCCTCTGGATGACCTGCGGGGGTGTGGGCGGGGGTCAGCGGGGGCGGGGGTCAGCGTGGGCGGGGAGTCAGCGTGGGGTCAGCGGGGGAGGGCAGCAGGGCGTGAGCCACGGCGGGACCCCACCGACACACGGAGGACCCCTGTCATGGGAGGGGAGAGGAGGAGGGGGGGGGAGATGTGCAGACGAAGGGATGGGGGTCCGTGGGCCGAGTGTGGGAAAGGCTCCCGGGCCTTGGGGTGTCGTGGCTGCGCAGGGCTCAGCGCAGGGCTGGGTGACCCTCTCGCAGTCCGTACAGCGGGGACAGAGCCCGGAGAGGACGGGCCGTGCTGGGGAGGGGCCCCCTTTGAACCCGGCCCTAGACACGTCCTCAGCTTCTGAGTTCACCTGAGTCCGCGGGGACAGGACGGGTCGGGGGCCCCGAGACTCTGCAGGCGTGGGCCGGGCCGGGCCACAGGCCCTGCTCCACGGGCTGGGCAGGCCATCACCTCCCTCGCAGGTCGTCACCTCCCTGTCCCTGTCCCAGAATGTCCCCTCCCCCACTGGACATCAACTCCTGTCCCAGGTCACCTCCCTGTCCCAGTCCCAGAATGTCCCCTCCCCCACTGGACGTCAACTCCTGTCCCAGGTCACCTCCCTGTCCCAGTCCCAGAATGTCACCTTCCCCACTGGACGTCAACTCCTGTCCCAGGTCACCTCCCTGTCCCAGTCCCAGAATGTCCCCTCCCCCACTGGACGTCAACTCCTGTCCCAGGTCACCTTCCCCACTGGACGTCAACTCCTGTCCCAGGTCACCTCCCTGTCCCAGTCCCAGAATGTCCCCTCCCCCACTGGACATCAACTCCTGTCCCAGGTCACCTCCCTGTCCCCGTCCCAGAATGTCCCTCCCCCACTGGACATCAACTCCTGTCCCAGGTCATCACCTCCCCATGCCAGGATGTTACCTCCCGTGTCCTGGGATGCCGCCAACTCAGGACCCAAAGACAATGCCTGCCCTGTCCTCACTGAAGGCCACTTGCCCTGTCCCCGTCCTGATGTCACCAGCCCCGTGCTCCGGTCGCTGAGTGACCGCCCACCGCAGACGCCACCGGCTGGCCTCTCCCGCACAGCGAGTTCAAAGGCCGAGGCGGCGCCCAGAGTGGGGCTGTGAAGGGGGCCACCCCGGCGGGGCTGCGCCTTTCTGGGGCTCCTGTCCCCGCCGAGCGGGGCGCGGGCGACCTGCACCGAGTGCGGCATAGTCAGGACAGCCCGGGGCACGGTGGCAGGTCACACCCCTTCAACAACACCCGCAGCGCTGGGGACGGGGTGCGGGGTCCGCCCCATCTGCTGAGTCCGGCCACAGCTCACCCTTCGAGTCTCACGGCAGCCGTGCTCCTGCTCTCCTGAGTCCTCCCTCCCCCGGGGCAGAGGTGCTCCCGCCCACCTCACTGAGTCCTCCCTCTCTCAGGGCAGAGGTGCTCCCGCCCACCTCACTGAGTCCTCCCTCCCCAGGGGCAGAGGTGCTCCCGCCCACCTCACCAGTCCTCCCTCCCCCGGGGCAGAGGTGCTCCCGTCCACCTCACCAGTCCTCCCTCTCTCAGGGCATAGGTGCTCCCGCCCACCTCACCACTCGTCCCTACTCCGGGGCACAGGTGCGCCCGCCCACCTGAGTCCTCCCTCTCCTGGGGCAGAGGTGCTCCCGCCCACCTCATCAGTCCTCCCTCCCCGGGCAGAGGTGCTCCCACCCACCTCACTAAGTCCTCCTTCCCCAGAGGCAGAGGTGCTCCCGCCCACCTCACTCATCCTCCCTCCCCGGGGGCAGAGGTGCTCCCGCCCCCCTCATCAGTCCTCCCTCCCCGAGGACAGAGGTGCTCCCGCCCACCTCACCAGTCCTCCCTCCCAGGGCAGAGGCGCTCCCGCCCACTTGAGTCCTCCCTC